ATGATTCTGAAGAAGGTATTATTTTGGGGGGTAACGAGTGACATTACCTCTGCCTGCAATAATTATCTCTAACCGAACTCTAACCGATCGATGTCGATCTTAATTTATTAGTTTGTCTGGAAAATCCGTGCCGATCTTTGGTAGGTGGTACACGTCTGTTTACATTGAAATGGTTGAAAACGATTAACATGGGTGCATCCCTTAAAAGGTAGAAAGGTCGTGGAACAAAATGGTATTTATATAATTCAATAAATATATAACAAAATTCAAATGTGCCTTTGAATTTTTCTTAAAAATAGGCATGAACTTTCCGGACAACCCAATAGATTGATCAAGTTCTCGATTCGTTGATGATCGTTTCAAATCCTAATCCTAAAATCCTTTTTTCGGAAAGAGGGAAGGGAGGAAATAGACACGCGAATGGTATTATTGCAGCCAGTTGCGTAGAATGCGACAGGATTGCGAGATTCGTGCGAGATGTGTCGACGTGGAGTTGAAACGAATCTCGTAGAAACAAGCGAGCGATTGGATGAACTTTCTTTTTCATTTTCCTTTTTACAGTGTGCGTTGGAATCGCAATCCCGTCGCGTCATTCTGTCCAGTAATGTAACCAACGCTATCGCGAATACGCGATTGAATCGTTAATGGGATATTCGTACCGTATTCTTTTTCATTTATTTGAGAATCTAGTTACGGTTCGGAACAAGAAAGTATTCGACAATGCGATGCGTTAATATCTGGACAGTAACTTCTTACAAAGATCGCCGAACACTGAGCGTGCAACGTTATAGGTTATACAGGGTGTCCCAAAAGTCGGGGAGGAGCCGGAAATGGGGGGTAGCTGAGACGATTCTGAACAACAGTTTCCTTTGCAAAAGTGTCGGATGGGGCTTCGTTAAGGAGATATTAAGAGAAAACCCCGACCAATCAGAGCGCGCGTAGATCGTTCGAGCGGCCGCGGTAGCGAAGGCTACGCGCTAGGCGGCAGCGTCAATGTCCTTCGATGCACGTCGAGTCACTTGTTCGCGTACAAGCGCGGCCGCCAGCGCGTAGCCTTCGCTACCGCGGCCGCTCCAACGGTCTACGCGCGCTCTGATTGGTCGGGGTTTTCTCTTAATATCTCCTTAACAAAGCCCCATCCGACATTTGTGCAAAGGAAATTGTTGTTCAGAATCGTCTCAGCTACCCGCCATTTCCGGCTCCTCCCCGACTTTTGGGACACCCTGTAGGTACGTTTGGTCGTGCGCGCGAGAAACCAAGATGGAAGAGAAAATCCGATCGAAATCAACGTTCCTGAATCGCGGTTCGATTCTGGAACGAAAGATCGACGAACGATCGAGAAACGAAAACTGAACGCGAAGTAAATCGAAATCAAGAAACATCGAACATCGAACGCGAACGTTCTTGTGACAAGAACAAAATAATAATTAACCGAAGGAAACACACCGACGACTAATCATCTATGTATTTGTCCTGCTCGTGATTGTAGAGTGGCGAAAAGATTACAGCCGATGCAGATTATTCGAGTGCGACGTGCACGCGTGACACACGTTAGCCTGGTGCCTTCTAATTTCTTAGTCGATGACAAATTCAGGCGACCATCGACAAATTTTCTAAATCGCAAATTTCTCGCGCAAAGATTTAGCTTTCCATGGTTCGACCAATTTCCTTGTCGACCAGCGTATTGTTTCCGTGCGTAATGAAATAATTCGTAATAATATGTACTGTGCCGGAGACGAGAATTTGGACAGTGGGTCTGATTGGTTACGGTATAATCTGAAATTCTGCGGTATAGTATAAATCGTAATATATGTAGAATTTAATATGTAGAATTCTATGACGTTATCGAGAAGATTATACTACTCCAACATTTTGTCTCCGCATAGTACACCGTAACTCGAACAACAACGATTACGATTATTTTACTTTGAACACCGCAGATAGTCCTCCCAAGTATTTCGTTGACTTTTAAAATTTAAGAAACATGTACTTGGGGGCAAATCTATCCGTGTCGAATTAATTCGTATCGATAATTATTAACAACGACCACGAAGCATGCTCTCGACGTGCTTTCTTTTCTACACATATGTATTCGTTAAAAAAAAAAAAGAAATGAAAAACTGTTCATACTAGGCGTGCTTGGGGGTACATCGTGTCGTTCTGCGTGATCCGAGTATCGCTAAAACAATTCTTCTCGGAACGTGAAATGAAACCTGCACCGAGGCTATTCGGCAAAAACACGTTTACACAGATACCAAACAAGAACGATGTCATTGGATGCACGTTCCTTCGAATGGATCATGGATCGCCGATAATGATTCTTCTACTCGTAAACTGTACAATTTTATATACCGATATTATAAATGCAAGAGTAACTCTGTCTGTTACATTTTCACGCCTGAACCGCTGAACAGATTTCAACAAAATTTGTCAAGGAGATTTTGTTACAAATATTACGATAATATTATTTTGATAAAAATAAGGTTTCAATTCGAAATCTCAATATTTGTAAAAGGACAGTCACTGATTGGTTCACATCACAAGGTGTTGACGTGTTTCAGCTGTCAGTCGAACGTAAACAACATATAAAATAAATAGTACTCCACGAGGGTGAAACCGCGGGGCACAGCTAGTTTTATATAATAAATATTTATTTCTTTTTGCAAGTTTCTTTCGTTTTCTACTTATTTTGTTTATGTCATTGTGAACTGAATCCATATATAACGGTATGGTCTTGGCCATAATTGCACACGAGTGAATTTTCTCGACAACTAAACGATAAGTGACAAACGATCAAATTTGATCTACAATTCTTTTCTTGTGCTTATTTTTCACGAAGAATCACCTCGTGCCCGTTTGCATGTAATATTCGTAACCCGTAATATTCACACCCTGTACATACATTTCACGAGCCAAGTATCGAGATCGAAGCGTGACGCAATCGAGCGCGGTCTATGTCCTCAGGTCTGACCAAAGTCAGGCTATACTACTAGCCCTGCATCCAATGCGATCGTTCCGGTGTTTCGATAGTCGTGCCTCTAATAGCCACGTGCGGATATTATACAGAAATTTATGAACGATTCTGTCTGTACAGATGGGCTCGAATTTTTCTTTGACGAAATAATAGATACAGTAAGAACTGGATAAGTGCAAGTCTCGGCGAACGAGCGATGTAACACGATTCTAGCCGACATATCGGTGAGACTTATCGTTGCATTACTTATGGTCTCACCGATACGCTTCTACAGACTGATTCTTTTTCTTGGACCTTTTTCTCTTTCACTCTCTCTGTACTTTTCTACGTTCAACGCTGACAATTGTAATGTCGTGTCTCGATTTTCTTCTACTTGTCCAGTCCTTACTGTACACGTTTCGTTCGGATCATAAATAATTTTGATATCAAATTTAAACGTACGCGCACGCGTCGATATCCCTCGAGAGGTTAACGTCCAGGAAAAGTAACTTTGCCAGCTCCGATCAATGTATTTACATTCTTCACGTGCGTTTCTTAAGTGACATTGAAAATCACGATCGATGCATTTCCGCCAGAAACAAATCAAAAACGTTCGATTTCGTACCGTTTCGTACCGTTTCGTACCATTTCGTACGGTTGTCGTCGATTAAACGAAATTGTATTCGAAAAAGAAAGAGAAACGAAAAGAAGGGAAAAGAAATGATCAAGTGATGCAACCAACGATACCTTTTCACTAAATTCGAGAAGAATCGAACCCAATCTGGTTGAAGCAGTCCTGTCCAACGGGAGGTGCCACGTATGCTCGCGTTAAGCCCACACATGTAACGACACATCGATGTATGCACGGTGAATCCTGTCTAAGGGCCGCCCACGCCACTTAGACATCCGCGATTAGTAAAAGCAATTACTGTCGCTTAAAAACTCGAGGCGGTTTGTCGAGTTACGTATCGAAATTTCACACGATATAATATACACTATACACTTTACGTATTAATATACACTATGGTGTCGATTCGGAATGTACTTGACGCGACCGAATCGAGTTTAGGTAAATTCTTCTGTTTGAATGGTTTACTAGAACACGTGCGTTTTATTTGATTTGCGATGTGCAACTGAACGATAGGAGTGAAGGAGACACCGGGTCCCAAACCTCTTAGAAAAAAGTTTGCACTCGAGGCCTTTTTTCTGGTATCTACCATGCCATGAATTCTAAGCTATCTAGATTTGAAAATAGGATCACCTTTACCCTCACCGACAATTATTTTACCGACACTTGGAGCTCCAAAGAAATGAAACCCAAAGAAACATTAGGTATTGTAGATTTGCTGCGTGAAACCTAATGGTAGCTGAGAGTCACCTCTCGAGTGCAAAGGATTATCAAGTTCCTCTAAAGACGGCCAAAAATTGCTTCCATAAATTACACTAATTTCTGTCTTCTGAGATATTTCTAAGGTATTCTGTCCCCGTCCCCTATATTTCAAATACATTCTTAAACGATCGCGTAATCTAATAACTTATTATTTCCAAGTCGAGCCCTCTCGATAAGCCTGTAGTTACACCTCGCCTCGCGATTCCTCGACATCAGCTCCGAGCTAGCAGCTCCGAGAAGCCACGCGTCTCTTAGAGAGGATTCACCGTGCATAGCGTACGCGTAAAACAACGAATGGAAGCCGTCACGCTTCCCGTGGAGCAACTTCGGACAGGACTAGGCGAAAGCAGAGTCGGACGAGATCCTGGGCCCCTCGACCGACCCGAGACCGATACGTTCGTCTCTCTCGAACGTTTCTCAAGGAAGGAAACAAGAGAAACGTATCGGAGAAAATCAGGGTGATCGAGGCCCCGAGGTTTCGGCCAGCTCTGGGTCAAAGGATCATCAGATGCCCGCGGATACCTAGTTCTCCAGGCGCGTACACATAAACGAATACATCGAGAAGTACGTAATCGATATTATTCGCATATCGATATCTTTTTTTTTTCTTTTTTTTTTTTCTTTTTTTTGTTAGAGATCGTCACGGCAGGGACTTACGCTAGGTGTGGTATTGCCTTGGTTCACGTGCTGGGCCGGCACGTCGTCGTGAAAGTAATCGTCGTTTTGGGTTCCAGGGACGCTCTGCGCAAAGTCCAATAGACGACGGTTCGGGCTATCCGGGGTGTTCGGTAGGTCGTTAGGCAAATTTGGGAAGCAGGACGAGGCGCTGCGACGATGTCGTGAGAGACTGTAATGCTCATAGTTACGATAACAGCCTGGCCCGGTCTGGGCGGGACCGCGTCCGCACGCGGACTCTCCCTCGGTGCTGTTACCATCCACGCCGGACATATTGTGACCTGGAAACAGGTTCCGCGTCCGTTCTGTCTTTCACGATGCCCGTCGGTTTTATCAACCGTGACGCAAGCGATCCGCGACGAATCGTTCGCGACGAGTAGTTCGCGACGATCGGGAGCACGTGTGTACCGATTGGAGGCATGCATCGATTTATATCGAGGCGATCAGCGGTGTAGATTCGCTGGTATCGGTAACAAGTAAAATGGGAGTAGAAGTGGCTCGGTTCGGTCCGGCGTGGTAGGCTGGATAGTTAGGCGGGGACATGCAGCGGGACGGGGGGTGTGGCGGCAAAATTGTAAAAATTAATTCTGTGCCTCTGTATCGAATGATAATCGGACCGCGGATGTTTGCGCGAATTCGGACTTTCGTTGGCACGGAAATAGAAGAATTTTAACCGATTCGTATCGTTGGTGTTTTGCCAGATAGAAATCGAATTCGAAGAAAATATTGGCGACGCGAACGAACCTTCCGCTTTTCCGTGCGATTAGAATGGATTGGGGAGGAAAACCCCTTCGGCGAGTAACGCTTGTAGGGAAAATTCTAGAATTTTTTTTTCACGATTTGCGTATATACCTTAATGAAAACAAAGCGTGATTAGTCCTTTTTTTTTTTTTATTAAATACTAACACTGTGAGATTTCTCTTTGTTTTTCACTGAAATATGTATTAGGTTGTCCGAAAAGTTTCTTTCGTTTTATTAATAAGTAATACATACACAATATTTTATGTCTAATGTTACATTATTGAATTGTGCACGATTCATTTTGCTCCATTACTGCTACAACTTCAACATCTAGGAAATTAGATTATCTATTTATATAAACACTACCGTACAAAATAATTGAGTGTACATTACGAAAGAAACTTTTGGGACAACCTAATATTTCACGCGTTCACGCCGGCGTTGGTAGTTCTGTGTCTAGCCATGGGGGCGTTGGTAGTTCTGTGTCTAGCCATGGGGGCGGCGCGGTGGTACACGTCTTATGATTGACACGCGAACGTGAGTCACCGGTGGTACACGCCGCACGATGGGACATACAGTCAATGTAATAAGTATTCATACAGGAATCAATTAATAATAATACCAATAATAATAATGTTGAATTTCGCGGCTAATTAGCGCGTCAGCATATGCATATGCATATGCATGTCCATATTCAGATGCCGGGCATCTTGTCCGCGCGTTTTTTGTTTGTGCCTGCTGTTTTCCGTTTTTATTGCTTTCACGGTGTATATTCTCCATGTGTTCAAATATAACTAGCTTACCGTGTCTTAACGATTATTATTACCGTCCTTAACCCTACAATCCTCGTGCTGAGGTGTAAAAGTCCAACAAATAATAATACTAATAATAATAATACCAATAAAATTTCATATGTTTATTTTAATAATAAATTTTTAATGTTAACCTCTTATTTCTTATTAAATTGTTTGGTGTACGAATACTTCTTACACTGACCATAAGTGTAGCCAGCGTGAACGTGTTAAATTGCGAAAGAAAATTCTTGAATTTACCTACAACTGCGCGTACCCCCATAATTATTTTCTGGGGCTCACTGGGCCCTCTCCAGCTCGGGTACCTCGGGATTGCCAAACCCGTACTGTAGTTACATTTGCGATCAAACGTAGCTACAGCCCCTGAGGGTCTATTACGTGTACTATTACGCGTGTTATTTTATTTACCGAGAGACTGTAAGTTAATCACTGTCAATATCGCGGAAATCGAATTTTTTAAGGGTCCATCCTTTCAGTCGAGAGGTTTCGAATACTTTCTACTTTCTAGATGCGCGTAGGAACACCCAGAAATTCCAAGTTGGTCGCTAATAACCTGTATTGTTGATGCGACCTTAAACAAATTAAATATGAAAACAAAAAAATCCAATTGGGTGTGGAATTCCCGCTTATCTACCACCACCACGCCGGACAATAGCAAAACAAATTTGCCGTCCACGTTGTCGTTCGTTTCCTCGGCGTTAAACGATAAGTTTATCAACCGTGACGCAGGTTCGATCGCGTACGATTGAATCGTGCTGAGTGTGATGAAGGGGTCACTTGAAAATCGTCGAAACAGTTTTCGTTACCAGTTATTATCTCGTATTAATAATATTACGTACACGCAATTTTAACTAATCGAATATCTTTGTAATTACGACAATTAAACCGAACGAATCTATAAGCTTGTTTGTAACGTCAAGTTTCTAATTTATCACGAATTCTTTTTTTCCATTTAATTTCGGAATGGAATTCGTAATATTTCTAATCGTTAATAAAACTTTTATGCTCGGTGTACGTCATGATCGTCAAAAATTCGATCGAAACGTCGTCGATTATTCGAAAAGTTGTTTCGATGATTTGCAAGTGACGGGTGAGCAATGGGGTGTCGATGGACGTATAACGAATCTGAAAGACCTCGTGACTCGTGACTGAGGTCCGGCGTGGTAGGCTGCGTTCGTTAGCTGCGCGAGGACAGTAGCGGAAGCGAGAACACCGATAACTGGTTACCATCCACGTCGGACATATCGTGATTTTGGAATGGTGCGGTTAGCTGCTTGCCATCGACCTTGATATAGAACGGGTGCTGTTTGATCAGGGCCGTGCGGTCGTTCCAAGTATGAAGGTGTGGGTGATCGTTAGTCGAAAAGTTAGACATCGGTCTGTCCGGCGTGGTAGGTTGTTCGTTAGTGTAGACCGAAGAAGCAGCAGGAAGACGAGGCACCGCAACGACGCCACGAGGGACCGTATAACGTTCATAGCTAGGATAACAGCCTGACCTGGTCTGGGCAGGACTGCGTCCGTACACGGATTCCCCCTCCTTGCTGTTACCATCCACGCCGGACATATCGTGACCTGAAAACAGGCTCGGTGTCCATTGTGTCCTTTTCCTCGTTTTCTTTAGTTTTCTTCGTAATGCCACCAATTCATCAACCGTGACGCAGGATCAGTGGAGAGTCACTCGAACAAACGGGTCGTGATCTCGTGAAGTAACGTTGCGAAAGCGAAATACTCGACGACGACGACGTTCGTTCCTGTCGCGTTAGGAACGTAAAGGTGAGGTCCCATCTATGTGATGCTCGTGCTCGAGCAATAAATTGTCCGTGCTCGCCGGATTTTGTTCGAAAACACGTTCCTACTAGCGAGCAAAAGGTCGCTAAATGCGACGACGAACGGTTGGAAGTAGTTGGAACCACT